AAGATATCATATTCATCTTTTGTCCCCAGCTCCTGGCACAGGGTCTCATGCTGGGCATCCAAAAAATGTCTTCTGAATGGAACTTTGAGGGCGACAGGCCCATTGTTCTATTTTTTCTTACATTCTGCAACCATGGCTGTTCAATCACTTTGTAAAGTTCTTCTATGTTTGCTTGCAGTTCTTTAAACATTTTACTTATGTTTAAATGCATCTGGAATGTATTTTTTTTCTTTTTCAGAGATCACAAGTAGGCAGAGACACAGGCAGAGAGAGAGGCAGAGAGAGAGGAAGGGAAGCAGGCTCCCGGCCAAGCAGAGAGCCCGATGCGGGGCTCGATCCCAGGACCCTGGGATCATGACCTGAGCCGAAGGCAGAGGCTTTAACCCACTGAGCCACCCAGGCGCCCCTGGAATGTATTTTTTTGTGTAGCATGGTAATATGATTTTGCCCTACTACGAAATGCCACTTTTAATGTACATTAAACCCCCACTGATTTTGAATTGTTTATTCCTCCCTTCTGTTTGTCTCTTCCTGTATTAGTACCATACTGTTTAAATTACAGCAGCTCTTGACTGTACTTTAATATCTGGAAGGACAAATTCCCTCATATTTACTATTCCCTCATATTATTCTTTTAAGGTATGTTTTGACTTTTTTCACATTATCCTTCCAAATAAGCTTAATTTTTAATTTGTGTAAATAAACATACAAATAAAAGCGAAGTTGATTAGAATGATTAGAATTATGTCCAAATTAGACATATAATTATTTTTGGAAGACTGATCTTTTTACAATACCGTGTCTTCCAATACAGGAACATGGCATACCTTAATGTTTTGTTTTTATTTTATATTCAATAGTAGAGTTTTATGAATTTTCTTCATATTTATCTTATATATTGTTTGTTAGATTATTTCTAGATATTTTGTGTGTTGTTATTGTGTGATTATTGTGTGTTGTTATAATAAATGGGAATCTTTCATTCCATCATACTAACATGATTAAGGAAAACTGCATTTGGGGAACATTCTATATTCAACCATTCTTGTTGAACTCTTTAATATTTATTCATCGAATCAACATTTGTTGAGTACCCATTACAGGCTAGATATTTTCCTACGTACAGGGGCTTTAGTAAGGCACCACACAAATGCATATTAGGGAATACACTTTACTGTAAAGCTCCCTCTGCCCCCTCAACACCTTCAATGAGTAAAGCTTTTGTTTTTCTCACCTAATGTTAAGTCCAGAGTAGGCAATTCAGGGCTGTTGTGTGACTCTACAATGCCAAGACGGGTTCAGGAACTTTCTATCTTTCTGTCCAGCAGTCACTATTCAATGTCTGTCACTGTCTGACCTCCAGGACCTCCAACATTCTGTCGACATTCTGAGCAGGAAGGAGGGCAAGGGCAAAGGATAAAGAAAGTGTAATATCTGGGCCTGAAGTCTCCAGTGTTTCTAGTCTTTCTAAAATTGCGTCCCCTGATTTTTTACCTACACTCACTGGCCAAGACTACGCCACACGGCCACAGCCATGTCCATTAGTCATATTATGCTCTTCTCAGATCAGAATTCTTTTAGTAAAAAAGGAGGGGAGGATTCTGAATCAGCACCTGGGTAGGCCCTGCCATAAGAGATTCCTGTCCTTTAGGAGATGTTCAAAGAATTTATACACCTTGGTAATCTTATTCAGCCTTGTGGCTGTGGGTAGTTTTATCCTGCTGACTATCAACTGACTATCAACACTTCCAGCCCAGCCTTCTCTCCGAACTTTAGGCTGAAAGAGCCTATTTGGCATCTCCCCTTAGATGTCTAATGAGGATCTCAAATTTAACCAGTCCTAAATCAAGTCCTTCATCAAAACAGTCCAAGACAGTCTTCTCCATCTCAGTAGATAACAATTTCATCCTTCTGGTTGCTTAGGCCTCAAACCATCCTAGACTCCTGTCTATCTCACATCTTCTATCCAATACATCAGGAAATCCTATTTGGCTCTGCCTTCATCTTCCAAATACATCCAGTATCCCACCCCATCTCATCCATTTCTACCAGTAACATTCTTGTCCTAGTCACCATTATTTTATGCCTGCATTACTGTGACAGCCTCCTAAAATCTTTACCCACATAATCATTCCTGAAGGTTCAGTTCCTTGTCTTCCTCTTTCTAATGATCTTATCCTGGTCCCCCACCTCTGCTACTTATTCCATGATCATTCCCTACCCTTTGTAATTTCCCAGCACTGCACCCCAAAACCTTGTCATTTCAGAGTTAAGCATCCCACTGCTGACGTCCACTTTCACCCACTGTGTCCTCTGTTATCCCCACTCTAACATTCCTCCATCAGGACCTACAATCATTAGTCCTGTACTTTTTCACTGCCTCTCGCACTCCCCTTATACTCTTGCTTTTCTTCTTACGGAGTTTAAATTCCATGGTCAACAATTTGTCTACAGGCCCTCAACTGCTTGCCTTTTTGTCCATTTTACTTGCTTAGCAAACTCCCAAACCTGATTAGACCCACCTTTCCAACTGTGCCCACCCAGCTGCCATGGTGGAAGAAACATATATACGCAAGTGCACTGATCCTCCGCTTGACTGACCCTTACCCCTCAGTGGAACATTTAACACTGCCTGGAAGTCATATTCTCTTTCCCTAGGCTTTTCACTCTTTTATTCTTTCCTTTCCTTTTTCTTTCTTCTCATACCTCCAACTTCCTTTACTCTAGATCTTCAGGCTCCTATGATGACCTTCCTTTTTATTTCAATGAGAAAAATAGAAGCGACCCCAAGAGACCCTCAATGAGCTCCCATCACATCCTCCTACCTACATCTGGGCCCATATGATCTTCTCTTGTTGACACAGACAGACTGTTTGTATTTCTATCTCAGACTAGCCACTGTGCACCAGATTCTGCCCAAACTCATTCACTCAAGGATATCATTCCAGTGACTCTTCCCTGTCTCCTATCTCAAATTTTCCAGTTTTACTAGCTCATTTCCATTTGTATATTATTTCTTCTTAAAAAATCTAAGAACTCTCTCTGGACTTCATTCTCCCCTTCTAACCACTGTACTATTTCTCTTATTGCTTAACAGCCAAGCCTCCAGAACAAATTGTCTATATTCACTATCCCCAATTTAACTCCTTCCACTTTCTTTTAAACCCACTCCAATCAGGCTCTCACCCCCGACCATCCATCAGAAACAACTCTTATAAGGTCAACAAGATATCTGTCCTAGTTAACTTCTGGTTATCTTTCACATTTCAGGCAAACCCCACTGAAACATTTTCTGACATTTCTGACTAGGTAAACCTATCTACTACATGCTGTCACCATTATATTGCTCATCCTGCTTGTAATTTTATATTTGTATGTGATTTCTTGGTTAATGATTCTTTTTTCCTCAGCAGACTCTAAGTTCCATAATGGTAGGGATGATGTCTATTTTTCCATCATAATTGTATGGTCAGTGTCCAGTACCATGCCTGGTACTCAGGAGGCCACCAAAAAATTCTGGGAGAATAAATGCTTTATTACTGTCATCCCCATTTTAAACTTGGGAAAAGGAGGCCCAGAGAAGTAAAGACTATTAGATCAAAAGCACATTGTGGATTATCGGTAGGATAGGGACTGGGATTATTTGAACATACTGACCACCAAGCACCATGCTACATTCTAGGGGTACAAGATGAATGAGACATGCCCCACTTTGCCCAGGCTGGGCCTTATAGAGCTTCCACCATGTTTGGGCTAGAGAGGACAAAGAATGCAACCTACTGCAGTATCACATTCTCCTTGTGTCTACAAGGGCTTACTACCAGGTCAACGGAGCTGCTTCCACTGCTCTGGTTCTGGTGTTCCAAGTGGCCAAGGAGAAGGCCTCTTCCAAAGAGCATTTGTTTGACTACATATGGTGATAGATGTTAACTAGATTTATTATGGTAATTATTTTGAGATACATACAAATACCGAATCATATTGTATACCTGAAACTAATATAAAGTTACATGCCAATTATGTCTCAATTAAAAAAAAAAAGCATTTGTTTGAAATTACATTGCAAGATTCAGAATAAGACTCTCTGGGTACATATTACTCATCACTGATCTACATACATATTATGAACCAGGAAGAACACTGGAAGGAGTAGGAAGGTCAACTCCATTGTCACTTGAAGACCAGTAAGAAAGGAAGGAAAGCATTTCAGAAATTAAACTGTCAGGAAAACAAGCCTTGAGTTACACAACTCTTAAGGGAGCTACTGTATTAAAAACATCTATGTACAACCAGTTGGAAGACTCAATATTTTGAGATTAGCAAGCTACCAGGCAGAACTGCCAATAAACACAGTCCAATTTACCACTCTGCAAGGGACTATACTACTAAGATGATCATATGATTTATTATGAACAATGGGGGCAGTTTGGGAATAAAAAGAAGTACAATACCAGGGTAGTGAGTGTTTACTAGGATTGTCCCAGGCTTAAAAAGCAGGACTGATCACCCTCTTTAGTAAGCATCCTCCACTCATTACACATGGAGAAAACCAGGTACTCATTTAGTCATGCAACTGACTCCATTAAGCCAATTAGCCAGAGCAGCTAGAATGGACAAGACCCCAGTCCAGTGTGGCTCTATTTAAATAATTTTGATCCTGAATGGTCATGCTAATACTTGCCATCTTCATTGAATAAAAACAGAGTTAAGAGTCACTTGCTTTATCTACTTGTTTTTCTAGCCCCTTCATACCTGATCTACAGTCAATCTTTAGGAAGGCCATTTCTTTCTCCATTTGAAGTTTAGTCCTAATGCTTAAGAAAGAAAATGCCTTCTGTGCTAAATAAAGTCAAACTGAATGCCATTCTTCAAGTTTCCAGAGGTTTCCCTCTTGCCCAAAGGCACAGATGGCTTAGATGAAATTTGCATGAATATGTGCCACATCTTTAATCAAGAAGGACTCCTAGGTCATTCACTGACTCAACATAACAAAAACAAGGTCACTATCCACAGAACTTTATTGTAGGGATCAACACATATAAACTTCTTGGAAATGTTCTGCACCATTCACTTGATGGTTACATACACATCAGGACCTATCTAATTGGCATCTTTTTTATTTGCTTGTCAAGAGAAAATCATGAATCAAGTTCAAAAGTCCTGATTAAAAAAATCTGTAAAAAGGGAGGGCTAACCACTGCCTGCCCTACATCAAGAAACATTGTACAATTCAAATCAAGAAAACAATTCCATACAAGTCCAGCAAGGCAAGCTGGCAAGTAGAAATGAAACGACAATCTTATACAAAATGCAAAAGGAGTCGAAGATGAAGTACAAAAAATAAAATTTGGGTCAGAAAATCATTACTAAATAAAACCACATGAGGATGTCTATTAGTTATTTTCTTTAAGGGGAAAAGAAATTGAGCTGCTAGTTTCCTACTTGTTCAGAAGGAAAAGTAAGGAAAGTGTTTGAAATATACTTTTGATATTGAGTGAATCCTTTCTCATCTGCTACCTAGAAGTCACAAACACCTGACTTATTCTTGCCCATCTCTAGAAATGAGAAAATAAAATCAGTGTTTGAGCTTTAGTGCGACACTCACAACACCCGAATGAGGTCCAGAGTAATCCTCGATCGGGGGATGTCAATGTTGAGTACTTGGACTTCCACTCTTTCTCCAGGGCCCAGTCCAAGACTCCTTCTCTTCTTTGTTTTAGAAAGTTTTGCTTCTGTTACATTTCGTATGGGAATCAGCCCTGATCTCCCCACTCCTATATCTACAAAAATTCCAAACAGAGTAGCATTCTCGACTTTGCCTGTGAGAACTGTCCCAACCTGCAGGTCTTCCAAGCAGACTATGCTTCTCTTGAAATCAGGTTTATCAAAATCTGTAACAAAAGGGGGAAAAAAAGACAGAGTAAATAGTAGGTACTATACTTCCTAGACACAATATACATTAGTAAATATGCGCAGACCACAAGTTAGCATTGAGAGGGGACATAAAAGGAGCTGAAATCCAGGCTTGCCTTCAGGGAAAATGCACCTTAATTGGAGAAGCAGCATTCACCTGGTAGGAACAATACGAGAAAATTTACTCCTTTTCTTCTCCTCAAACTCTATCTCATTAGCATGCAAACATTAGCACTATACATAAAGACTGAGAAGCCCAGAGTCTTATTTTCCTCTTTATGAGGAGGTGATGAGAAAATACCATTGCTCAATGAATATATAAAGCCAAATCACAAACAATAAGAAAGTTAAGACCTTTAAAGACAGAAAATTGGGATTTTTTTCTTCTAGTACCTGAATTCTCAAACTGTTTAAAGGTGGCAGAAAGTACATCAACATTTGGTCAAATGTAGATGAAATTAAAATGTTCTCTTCCATTTCCCCCCACGAATTTGGAATTCAGAAATCAATTTCTATCCATTTTGAATATACGTGGCCAATCAAAACTTAATACATTCTTGATTATCTACAGCTCAGAAACCCAGATCAGCCAGTTCCTAATTTTCTTTCTCCTTTTTCAGTTTAATTCATTAAACATTTATTAGCTCCTGGTATGATCTCCTATGCAGGTAACCCACTGGTGCTAGAGATACAAAGATGAAGACACACAGATCCCTGCTATCAAGTTCCTTACAACCCTATTTTCTCATTGGCCACAGTGTACATTTCCCTGTTCATTAACAACAGTCTCCCCTCCCCCCCCGCAAAAGTGAGTATAAAGCATACCAAGGAATCATGGCTCTAGTAAAAACAAAACAAAAACAACAACACAAGTTTTATGAGGGGAGCCTGGGTGGCTCAGTAGGTTAAAGCCTCTGCGTTCCGCTCAGGTCATGATCCCAGGACCCTGGGATGGAGCCCCACCTCGGGCTCTCTGCTCAGCGGGGAGCCTGCTTCCCTTCCTCTCTGCCTGCCTCTGCCTACTTGTGATCTTTGTCAAATAAATAAATAAAATCTTAAAAAAAAAAAAGTTTTATGAGGGAGAAGGGTAGTACTAACAGTCTAAATGGGGCTTTTGGGTTATCTGTGGATTCCATTTTCCCATGCTCTTGTTGGCCCCCTTTCCTAGGATTACTGAATGTTGATTCTAATAACAAAGAACATTCTATGCTTGGATCTCCTTTTACTAAGGCCTCATTTTCCCTCCACCCATCCCACTTCCTTTTCCTCCACAGCTGTTGGCTTGATCCTGATTACTTGTTAAAGCTATCCTTTACAGTTGTATTAACAACTGGCCACCTCTTGGTTCCCCTCCCCCCGTCCACCTATCCTGAAATCAAGTGTTTTGTTTTTTTCCCCCTAAATTCACCCTTTTCCCATAAAACAAGCAAACAAACCCTTTTTAAACCTCAAATCTCATTTTCCTCATAAAAAAAGGAATATGCAAAAAATGGAATTGATTCTGTACAATTTTCCCTGACACCAAAGGAGTAGATTCCAAAAGCAAAAAACCTGTTGTAATATTACACTAGGCAGACACTGTGTCAAAGCAAAGTGAAACTAAGTCATTGATCAGGGCAGAGGTAGATGGTCCCTGAGGTCTCATAGGCATTGTTTTTATGCTTGGAAATTCTTTTCTCTTATAGAGGTCCAGCTGCTATAGATTCCCCAAGGGTTCCTGATCAGCTGCTTAGTTTAATTTTGCATGGAAAATCAGAGTCAGGAACTACTTAACATGTTCCTGAAGACAGCCTGGGCCACTGAGAAATCAGAAAATCCTCCATGTACCAGGCAAACTTTAACACTTTGATTGCCAAGGCTACATAATCAGTCAGCTGTCACTAGGCTGCTTCTGATGAATTCAAATATAGAAACTAATAGGCAACCAGAGTGCTAATAAAATAGAATCAATTTTGTTAGAAGACAGGATGAGTTCAGTGAAAGAAAGAGGCATCAAGGAAGGAAATACTTTTGAGAAAATGAAGAAAAGGAAAGATGTAACATTTATAAATACTGTAATGAGGAAACATCCAAAACACTATCTGCCTCTTCAAAAAAATATGACTGTTTGCCTTCCCCCTTAGGGATAGTTTTAGTATTAAAATAAAAGCTTTCAGACAGTCCAATTTTGAAAATTGTGACTTACACTAGGGCAAAGGTCAATTCCAAAGTGAGTTTAAAGAGACTTATTTGAAATTTCACTTGTCACAATGATAAACACTGCAGTAACTGGTAAGCTCAGTCCAGAGCCCAGGTGCATCTGTGTTTCTGTTCACTAAGGGCATGACAAGGTGAGGACCTCTACTTAGCAGCTGGTTGTTTAATTGAACCGTATAATCTGAATGTTGATTTTCGCTCTGAGTCTGCAGTGTAACCGGGATAACGGAGCAATCAACACCAAGACAGAAAAACGATCAAGGAAACCCAGTACAGGAGGCCTGCAGCTAGAGAGAGCATACTTACTCATCTTCTAATGGTGTCCTAGGCATACCAGCCTCATTGCCCACCCTGTTTGAGAACCACTGCTCTCCTTAGTATCCTGCTAAACAATACCCAGGGAATTCACACACAAGGGCATCAGGCCCCTAAACAGGGATGGACTTGTCTACTGAAACATCCATTTTGGATGGACCACCCTGGAGGCTCCTGTTCCCACATTTTTGTCATAGATCTTATTACATATTTTTTTCCAACTTAAAAAAAAAAAATTCTGACTTACAGAAAAGTTGATGGAATAGTATAATGAACTTACTGGGTATTTGTTTTTTTTAAAGTTTATTTATTTTTTAGTAATCTCTAGCCCCATTATGGGGCTCGAATTTACAACCCAGAGATGAAGAGTTGACTAAGCTAGCCAGGCGCCCCTTACTGGGTGTATTTTAAACTCCTTTAAACCTTTTCACAAAGAAGCATGCCTAACCCACTCAACAGAGCCTAACTCAGCCTAAACATGGTATCCTAAAGCTGACTGTGAGACTGAGACAAGTGCAGATTCATTTAAAACTCAGAGCTTCCTATTCAAATTTCCTTAGGAAGTGGGTCACTTAATACCTTAATACTTTATTGGGCCATTGCTCTCAACAACTATGTCTGTTACACTTCCCTCATCATCTACCTACACTGAAAGCTGAGAGCTCTTTTAATTAGAAGGAAAATCAACAGAGAGATAGTATCTTATTTGTTCGATGTGTTTACTGACATAGAATCTAGGAACTTGGAAGTCTGCAATTTAGGAAGAAGATTTACTTTTTAGTTTATGAACTGCATACCTTACCTTGGACTTCCGGCTCCTACAAAATAAGAAGAGCTTACAAAAGGATTATGAAAAGTGTGTGCCTCTGTGCACACAACAGCCAATGTGTGAGGCATTTAGTCTAGTGTGATGGAAAAAAAGCATGGGACAAGGAGTCGGGAAACCTGGCTTCTTGTTTTGGCTCTGGATACTAACCAACTGCAATGACTTTGAAGACAGGGCACGATGCTTCAGTTTCTGCATGTACAGAATGGATAATAATTTCAGTTTTGCTTGCAGCAGAGGTTTGTTGTGAGGGCCACAGAAGACAATGTGGCATATGTAAAGGAAAGGTGCTATTATTCAAATTTAATTATTTACCTGTTCGAAAGTCAAAGCTTTCAGGCTGGCTGAGACCATCTATGATGACTTGTAAGGTGTGAACTGTTGTTTGCAAACTTTCTGCAATTTTCTCTATTCCTTCCTTTTCAAGGAATGAATTTATTTTTTGTTCCATTTCAGGTTTTCCAATATCATGCAGTGTCCCTTTGATGAATGACAAAAACCTGCAGGGACAAAAAAACCCCAGCACTTATTAATAATAATACTACTTATTTTCTAAACTCTCTATACAGGTCACCCTAAAATTCATTCATCTCAGATCCATATATCATCAATCAACTGATCAATCAGTCTTAATTAAAAATCTACTGTGTCTCATGGCATAATGAATGACCTGTCTTAGAAAAAAAAGGAGGGGACGGACTTAGGTTCTTGGGCTCTTTTCCAAAGAAGCACCTTCTCAAAATCAACATCAGAAATGCTTTACAGTGGAATGTTCATTAGAGTTTAGCGTCAAACATATTTTCTAAATAAGGATACCTATGTTTATCTCATGTTTCCTACATTTGAGTTAGGAATACTCAAATACTTAAATTAGCTAAGATGCAAACAGTGAACTGATGATTTCAAAGTCCAGAAAAATATCCAGTAAGCATTAGCAGCTTTCTGACAAATGAAAATCTGTTATTCATGTGCCATATCACTGCTTTTTACTTTTGAACACCTCTGACGACAGTTACCTGTACAAGCATTCTGTCAGCCTACTAATTCTCAAATTCCACTGACAGTAAAGCTTCACTGTGGATTAAACTGTATCAGGTATATTAAGTATTCAAGAGTCCACAGGAAAAATATTTGAGGGGATATCAAAAAGAAAAAGTAACTTGCTTATAAAAATGGAAGGTGTGGAAGCAAGTTAGACCTTAATTACATAATCTTGAGAGGAGTATTATTTTTATATACTGTATAAATTATTGCTGCAATATTCACAAAATAAAAATATCTGCCTTTCTCCATTTCCCTTTGCAATGTTTACCATTTCCCTTGCTTGCTGCCTCTGAATTACTTAGCTTTGGAATTCAGTAATAAGTTAATTAAGAAAAAAAGAAAGGGTTAAGCCATTTCCCCTCTCAATTTCATCTGAATATTGGGCTGTAGCTTACTTTCTTGAGAGTTCTTGGCTGGGTATTTTTCGACATCATTAAGTTCCATTTCCTATGATTAATGGCACTTTAAACATGTCAACACAGTAATCAGACAGATAGTGATACTAATGCCCTCAAATCCTTTCCTCTAAGGATGTCTCTGGCATACAAGAAGGGAAAAAGGAAACTGTTGGAGGCTTGTCCGTCATCAGAACTGGGATGTATCCCATTTGGCAGGTTGCTACATTATCACGAAAGGAATGCTTTCATTTCCAGTCTTTAGGCTGTTGTGTTCAACCAGAAGAGCCTCTTCAGTGATTATATGCAGTCCTGGTCTGGCATCTGGTGGAGAACGCACTCTCATCTCTCACTCAGGGCATCCTTTTGGGTTCAAATGGACAATCTTGCTACATTTCCAACCATATATTTAGTCAAAAACCTAGATTCTCCAAAATCCCAACTAACTCTCTTGAGAATATATTTTGGTTAGTAGTCTAACAGAAGACCAAAGAATTAGTGCTTGGTATCTCTTTTTGGAATGAGCTTCTGTTCAAATTGGAGGCCAGTGAGACATACAATGTAAATCTGTGTGTCCATGGCTTCCACAGCCCAACGGAGAGGCAGCCAGGGTCTGTTACTGCTATTGGACAAGCAGTAGCACATAAGGGCCCTGGTGACAGGGAACAGCTGCTGAAGCTCTGACGGGACAGATGACACATGACAACTTCTGCCCACAGCCAACTTCTCTGCACAACTTTCTCAATAATGCATGCCCTGCTGAGCAGGCTTCCCTGGTATTTATCCTCTTGGCTTGATCGGTCTGCAACTAGCTATCCAGTAGAATATCTTTCAAATCCTCAAGATTCTGGCTTACAATCAACTGTTAAAATGCCAAAGCATATTCATGGGCTGTAAATCTATAACCCCGAATGGCATTTCATAATTAATGAAAGTTAACTAAATGGCAGAAAATTCCCAAATCACTGTATAAGTCTTGGCCTCAGTAACAAAAACACTGGCTCAAGAGGCTGTTTGGAGTCTTAAGGTTGTGTGTGTATGTGAGAGAGAGAGAAAGAGAGAGAAAGAGAGAGAGACACTAACTGCTACCAAAGTCACTTCCATATAAAGAATTCTGTTTATAGTGGTTGCAGATGTAAGAAGAAAATTGGTCTGTTTAACCTGGGTGCCTATTTCATATATCATTTTCGTTCTCACATACAGAAGCCCGAGGGCACTGGTAACTGAAATCGATAAAAAAGTACCAAATTGTGCTCCTAGCTAATGCTTCATATTGATCAACCCTATTTTTAAATGACTATGGAACAAAGTCAAATGCTACTTTATTTTGAAAACTTTCTTAAAGTTACAACGGGCTTACAGAAAAAGGAAAATAGCAAAAACCAAAGAGGGGAGGGACTATGAAATGAAGTGGGAACAAAATTCAGATCAACCTCTACCTTCCTAGATTTCAAATATATTCAACCGTAAATGACAGGAAACAATGCTTTACACCTGGTAATCACTCAAGAAACATGCAATCTGTAAAGAGCCTAAGAAAAATTTATTCTGAATTTTCTGAATTTTGGCCCTGGAATTAAGGGTGATAAGTAACATGCAATACAGAGTTTCATTTTAGAATTGGGTAAGTTGAATCACACTCAATATAAAATGCTTTCTGCCTCGAAAATACCATATAAAAATAAATTGCATTTTCTTAAAGCTTGGAACCCAGTACCTACAAGTAAGTGCTGGGCATTAGGTGAGTGCTTGATAGAGGTGTTCATTCAATCCTAACAAGAATCCTAAAAGCTGGGTGTCCTATTATACAGAAAAGGAAAGTTGAGGTTCAGGGAAGTTAAATAATTGGCCCAAGGCCGCACAGCTATTTTCACGGACTACAGTTTCATGCCATACACATCAGTGTGTGTCCGTTTATAACTGCAGTCACGTCAAAATCAGTGATATGTTAGACTAAGATATAAAACATAATACTTCTGGCAACATTTCACCAACATGATTTAGTGGCAGATTAGTTTTAAACAGGAGACAGCTAATACCGATAAATTCCACAAAGAAATGACTACATAAATGCGCTTATGTAGACAATTCTCTCAAAAGTTGATGAGTTGTTAAAGTCATAGCATCATTTTCTCCATCTTCTGCATCTCCATTTTCTCCATCTTCTGCAGGGCTTTTTCAGCTTGCTAAGGACTGCGGCCTGAGCTCCTGTTTTTATTTAATATGTAATTTCATCCATTTTACTTAAAGTAAGAAAGTAGCATAAATGCAACAAATAAGCACATCATGTCCTTTTAGTGCACATCTGCACAAAGTTAAAATACAGACCTTGCAGCAGAGAGTTTTTCAAGGAGAATGCTTATATAACCTAAAATCTCTGATATTTTCTACAGGAACTTGTTACTAATGCAATGCTTTTCCCCTTTGGAGAAAGTCTTTGTAAGATCCTTCCCAAAGAATAAGAAATTCTCAAGCTTTGTAAGACTTCAGATATACCCATTCGGTATGGGAACCCAGGATGGGGTTCTGTACATTAAAGTACTGTGAGACCCCACAGAGCACAGAAGAACCACAGTAATGCAAGCCCATCACTTTAAGAACAACTTACTATTAGCACGTGCTTGTGGGGGGGGGCGCCCAACACACAGCAGAAAGAACTGCGTTGTAAGGGCAAGGTGCCTATGGCTGGCTACCCATTCTCAACAGTTCCAAGAGAGACTTTCATACTTTTATCCATTAGTTTTACTCAGTTGTAATTATATCAATAAATAAAACATTCAATGCAAGAGCAGAGTCATTTTATAAATAAGCAGGTACAAAGCAGGTCATAATTTGTAATTCAGGGAGATGCTCAGTGATCTAAAAAGAGAGCTTGTACTCTAGCAGGAAACCCGGACCTCTTAACTGAGACTATAGAGTAAGTGGTGGGACACAAATGAAGTTCAGGAATAATCTGTTAACACCAAAACCACAGATTCAACATGTATTTTTAAATCTACTGGTCTTAATATTAAAGACTAAATATAAATTCCAATGTGGCAAAAAAAGAGAGACCCGTTGCTCCTTTCACACCACCTACAGGGAGCTGAATTTACACACAGGAATGCACAGCAGCGCACATTTAGTTCAGCTTAAAGAGAGAGTGCCGGCTTTACCACATCTGCTGTCTCAGCAGCCAAGTCAAAGGGGCAGCAACGTGAGTTGCACTTTAATCATCAAAGAATCTTTTCAAACTTTTAACTTCTTTGTGAAACCAAGACACTGAACTGGGCCAAAATCCTTAAAAAAAAATCTTTGCTTGTGCAAAATATACAAGTACTGATAAATCCATGTAGAATGCAAGGACATTGGAACAACGTACCACACTGCAGAAGCTGGTAGGTCAGTGAAGGCAATGTTTAAATGGCTTTCCTGAGAATGTAATCTACCACAGAAATTGACAGCAAGCAATTTTTCACAAGAACTTACAGCTAACTGGCTTTTGAAAACTGCAGATAAACTTTTAATAATGCAACCCTTTCAGAAAGGATAAAGGAATTGTCCTGAAAGCCCTTACAGACTTTTTAATGTGAGAGTATAGTTTTAAATGGGATGCAGCTATCCACGCAGCAGCCGGGGACATCTTTACCCACATTGGTTTGGTATCACGTGAAGGGTCTTTGGAGCTCTTCCTGCATCTGAGCACTTCCTGCATCTAAACACACCCTGGCATCTAAATACACTCTTGCATTTATGAGTAGCAGGAAAACAAAACAAAAGAAAAACAAAAACAAGAGGAATTGAAAGGAAGAAGCTGTCATAGATTAAGAAATGCAGTTTGTCTTCCAAAAGACTTGGTTTATAAGCATCAGACTGTTACCTGCTTCTAACTTCTGAAGAACTTACTAAATGTTTCCTTCTTTTTCAAAGATCTGGTGTACATGCACAGAAACTGGATACAGCATGCATGCTGTATTAATTGTACATAGGAGAACATATCCTTAGCTGTTTTATTTTAGCAGTTTAGTATAGGGAATTGGCTTTATTAAAAAAAATGCCAGTTACAATGTGCTTATATATTT